TGGTTGGAATAACCAAATCGGTCCAACTACCATGGGTCGAACCGATGCAATGGTTCATTATTTTAAAATGAACCAATGTGTTGGTTGGGGTGTAACCACCCATATGAAGAGTTGCCTCCCTTCGTACGCACCCCTTCATTCTCTATAAATAGCACCTAACTCCCTGGTTTTTATATGGTGTTTTTTCTGGTACCAAAATTCTGCCAAAACACAAAACTAGTATTCTGCATTCTTTTCAAAGAGAAAATCAAGTCAAGTGTGGTTCTCTCAGGTTCACTGCGTTCGATGGGTTCCGGGGTTTGAGGTACCGCAATGCCGCTTGCATGTGTCATGCATGTTTTCTTAATCTTATGTGTTTGCTTATGTTGCAGGAAAATAGTATACGTGAACAATTTTCTCAACAAAGGTTGATACAATAAATAATACAACGAAACAGTGTACTAGGATTATCATTTCTTACTAGCTAACCAACGCTTACGCTACATCATTTTACCATGAATCCAAGCCAATAGGGAGGGATAGTAAACCAGATGTGATTCTCTTGCATTACGTGCAGAAAATAGTAGGAGTGCTTCAAGAATTGGGTAGAAGGGCATGCAAGCAAGATATGCTTGCTCATTTTATGCAAGTATTACTATTTTTTCTAAGTCTCGCCTGAATATTATTTCTTACGTCACAATAGGGCTACTAGCATTACAATCTTGATTGAGAATTTGGTAAAGGAAAACCGGCTCCCGGTCGAACCATATTTCATTCTCCTCCCAATGACACCTCATCCTTGCCATATGGTGTGCTGCTTTGTTTCCCTTCCTCTCCCAAAACCTAAGTTGCGCATTTCCCCTTTCCTCCATCTGCTCCCTTATCTCCTCGCATAGAACCTTGATCTCCAATTCGCTCTGCATTTCCCCTTTCACTTTCTGCACAATGGTTTGGCAGTCAACCTTAACTAAGATCGGGGCTTCAAAATGTTGTTGTGCCATTCGCAACCCCCAGAGAATAGCTTTGGCGATTTTCGACGGCCACTTAATGTGCGTTCGATGGATCGCATGCATCTTGAATCGGCCACCGCTGTTTATCACCACCATCCCAAGACCTTTTCCTCCTCCCCTGAGTATAGCTCCGTACACGTTGATCATCAACCATCCCGTCGGTGGGTTCTCCCATTTGTAAGGTGTCTTAATCAACGGATTAGCTCAAGTTTTCTCTTGGCACAATCGAAACTCCTCAAGGTAATTCTGCGATCTCGGAACCACTTCCCACTCTTCTAGTTTCTGGTTGTTGAACATGTTGTTGTTGCGTTCCTTCCAGATGTACCATAGGGCCATTAGAATCTAGCATCATTCATCATCTGAGGCTTTTTCCAGCAGTTCGCATAGCCATTCTTCGCTATCTTTCTCTTCGCCTAGTTTGAAGAGGCCCTCGAGTTCACTTGGTCTCAAAACTCGTTCTGCCCAATCGCATTCTCGAGTGATATGCTCCTGAGTCTCCTTTAATTTAATCCGCAAAATGGGCATTCAGTGATAGCATCTTTGATTCTCTTAGTGAGATTAGTTCCTGTAGGGAGGATATTGCATCCCCACCACCATACAAAAATTCTCACCTTTAAGGTAAATTCAGATGCCATAGTCTCTTCCAATCAACCGGGATGTAAGGTTCTCCTTCTAATTGGCTCTGCTTCGCCTGCCACTCCCGATAGCCTAATCTCACGGTGTACTCATCTCTCCAGCATCAGTTTTCTTTTAAGGGGTGTCTCGGTGATGAGGGTATTTTCCATGTTTTGGGCTTTGGGTAGTTTTGGTTTGGGCTAGGGTGTTTTTCCTTTTCGGTCAAGTTTTCCTTTTGTGTTTGGGAAGGGGTAGCCTAATTGGGGTAGGATTAGGTTAAGTATTAGGCTTTTCTAAGCCTATAAATATGTACCTTTGGCATTAGTTTCGTATCAATCAAATAAATCAAAGGTTTATAGACATCAACGTCTTTCTCTCGCTTGTGAGTGACAAGCAAAACCCTTGAATCGTGGGTTACGGTTCATCAATTGGTATCGGATCCTGGTTTCTCGTTTGATGGAAAGGAGAAGTGGTCGGGTTCACTCAATGGTAAAATTGAAGTGAAGACCATGCCGACCACTTTCGTAGGCGATAAGGGCATGCAGGGACAAATTTATTCTTGGAAATTTAAAAGGAAGGGGGAGGCGGAGGCGTATGAAAAGGGTGGAATGAATGATGGATGATTTTCGTTTGCTAGTGCTATTAGGGGCCGAGAATGGACAAGAATGTTTGCTGTTAGGGGCCGCTCGTGAAAATTCAGGAAGAGATCAAAGCCTCAACATCGCCGCAAGAGCTGCTATTGTCATCGTCGTAGACCGCCTCGGCACGGACTGACCCTTGGATACCAAGGTTCTTTGAGGGGGAAGGATTGATGAGGGTATTTTCCATGTTTTGGGCTTTGGGTAGTTTCGGTTTGGGCTAGGGTGTTTTTCTTTTTGGGTCAAGTTTTCCTTTTGTGTTTGGGAAGGGGTAGCCTAATTGGGGTATGATTAGGTTAAGTATTAGGCTTTTCTAAGCCTATAAATATGTACCTTTGGCATTAATTCCGTATCAATCAAATAAATCAAAGGTTTATAGACACCAACGTCTTTCTCTCGCTTGTGAGTGACAAGCAAAACCCTTGAATCGTGGGTTACGGTTCATCACTCGACAGTGGTATTTGGAGAATTCTGTCCCTATCAATAGGTTTGAAATGAGCTTGAAGCTTGTTGCTCCTCCACGTCCTTGTATAGTTGTCAATCAATTCCGAGACCCTTGTATCCAAATTTAATCCAGCCACTATTGATGTCACTTTGAAATTTGGGGATGTCGGAATCCATCTTTCCCATCTTTCCCAGCAAATCCTTAATACCAATTAATCCAGCCACTATTTACGTGTTTCTATTTATAGAATGCATCCCTTGACCACAGTAAAATGTAATACTACTTTTGAAGGACAACTAGATGTTATTTTAAGACGATTTTCTTGATGAAAGATGCACTAAATTCATTTACAAAATAAATTTACGTGTTTCAATCAAAATTAGACATCCTTTATACCAATTATCATAGCTTTGATTGCTCCATATTAGCATCATTATTAGTTCGACCTTGACCACAATAAACTGTATGCCTTCACCGCACTAAATTAATTCTTTAGATGAGTCAATAAAAAAATATATTATATTTTCTATATGAGACTTTACAAGGACCACAAGGCACCAATATAGATGTACTAGAAAAATGATTAGCTACAAGAGCCTTTATCATTAATGAATTGATAAAATTGTAACGTGACCAACTCAAAACAATATAGTATCATAAATCATAATCCTATTAAATTATCACTTTTCCAAAAGAGATCTATTTTATGACCTATATATAAAAGGTATAAAAAGATCGACTCACTCAATAAGATATATGTATTTTCTAAAAATATGAGGAAAGTGAATCAGGTGAGGTCCTCAATTAAAACTAAAAAATGATTAGTGCATGCTCTTGGTTGTGGCATATGTCCCAAGTGGGACTTAATTAATCGAATTTCAACTTAATAAAAATAGGGGCATTCCGAGAATCGAACTCAGGACCTCCCGCACCCGAAGCGAGAATCATACCACTAGACCAAATGCCCTTCGATGGAGTATTTTGTCTTAACTTAATTATCTAACAAATACTATACAACACCACCGCACTTGCTTTATATTATATGCATATGTTTGAGCATTGTCATGTAGCAATTTGTCATGTAACGGCGACCATATATATATATCAAAGGAAGGAAGGAAGGAAGGATTGTGGTTAGGATAAAGTGGTCGGCAGTTTTCTATTCCATGCGCCAATGTGGAAAGACGATATCAGAAGTAGGATCGCATTCTGTAAATGCCCAGCCCAGTAGTAGGATTTGCCAAATTTTAATATTTCCTAGAGAAGTTTGATAATTTCCTTGTAAGGTCATCTAACTTTTGTAGCGTATCTCCTATTAATTAGCTTATGTTTCAGCAGGTAGCTACTAGCTAGGCTAGCAAATGTCCAAAATCAGTGGAGAGTGCGACAATTCCTAGTTGGAACTAAAAAAACTACCATAACGACACCGATCTTTACAACTTTTGGGGTGCTCGATTAGGTGGGGGCCTTCAAATTATACGATCAGTCACTGAACTTTGGGTGCCGCACCAAATCGATTACCAAACTTTGATTTGCACTTCTTATCGCGAATTCACAATTGAACAATATGACAAAGAGGGTCTTAGTATGGCTTTTGCCACCGGTCGCCTTCTACGACGGTTGGGGTTCCTGTGACCGTTTATCAAGAGTACTTAGTATGCACACCTTATACATGTGTTATCAATTATCACACTTATAGAATGAACTTGAAGTTTGGAGTAATTAATAAAACCACTACCTTATGTCTTTATCTATATCATTGTCAAATTTTGCCACCAAATTAGCATGTCTAACTTAACGAAGCTAATACCGAATATGATACCATACAACTCTAATTAACAATTGCTCAAGAGGATTAAGAAGGTTCCGATGTTACTCATAATAATTATAGCAATGGATTTGGTTTCGATCGGCTATGGGGATAATTAGGGCTTCGATTCACACGGTACTCTCGACAATTTGGAACAAAATCGGGCAACAATGGAGTGATTAAGTAATTGAGTGAGTTATTTTCAAAAATTCACTCTCAAACTAGTTAAAAATGAAAGTTGGCTGACTGCTTTGCCGTAATAGACCCAAAGTTGAGTTGCCTTTTTTTACGTAATCGATCCTCGACAAAATTGGTCGTGGCCCTTGCTGGATTTATTTGTCAGCTTATAGTCGCCACAGCCACTATCCAAAAATACATACATCTCAATCTTAATTTGGTGGAGCCGATAATAAGAAAAAGAAAAGAACAATTCGCATAGATTCTGGTACCCTTTCAATACCCACGCCCGTTATAAATCTGTTCATTAAGTGTAGTTATTATGTTGCTTCATTACATTGTAATCGCAAAGGCCCTCTCTAAAAATCTACTAGTCAAGCACCTTTCCTAACTCAAGCTGCTCATTTTCGGCTAATTAAGTTAGTCGACTAAGTGTCTAGCTAAATGGCAGCCAACTCGTCCATGAATGCAATTCGAGCCTCGACGGTGTTGGTGATCGTGTTAATCGTGTTGTTTGCGGATGTGAATCATTCAGAAGCATTAAGATACAAAGAGGTTAGTATGCGTAACAAAAGGATCGTTAGCATATTGCTTTTGAAGGAATTAGAGTATCATGGGGTTAGGGTCAAGCGCATTAGCAGAAGGATGGCGGTGACGGAGTCGGCGGCGGATAGGGTTTCGCCCGGAGGACCGGATCCGGAGCACCATTGATCAACGATCGGACCTAGAAGAGACAATGTTGCCGGCTCAATGTGGGGTTTATTGGATGGCAACATATAGTAGCCCTAGCTTTCAATGTCTTTCCTCCATTGTTAAATTATTATCGAGTCAAATTTTGATCCCTGCTTGGATACTGCTGTGGATTTGACCAAGCCACTGTAATTGTTGGCTAAGCATGTTAGTCTCGCCACTTATTATTAAGTAAAATCTAAGAAATTGCTTTTGTTTACTACACGAATTCATTTTAATTTATTTATTCATATTGATCCACTTAATTAGCATTGGGCACGGCCCGTTGGCCAGCGTCGTATAAAATTATGAAGAATAGAGGAAGGATTAAGTAAATTTCTAGATTAGTGCCCGATCCGTTAGCCAAATTATTGATGATTTCAATATAATTTATCTATGAATTCAAGGGCGTAGCCAGGATTTTGTCGAGGAAAGATTTAATAATGAATCTAATACTATTTAGTATTTACTAACACTTTCCTGCTTACTACAACCAACTTATGCGTGCTTAAAGTTTACGTAAATCCGAATATCATATGCATAACAAATGGGGTTACAAAGATTCGAACAAATGATATCTCGGTCAACCATTCTCAATTAGAAGTGCCCTAAATTTAATTCTCAATTAACTATTATACTAATCTACTCATTTTCGTCTTTAGGAAACACTTGTTACAATCTCCCTAACCCTGATTGAAATAAAATTATTTTTACAAATGAATTATGATTTGGTGGAAATTTGTTGTAAATATTGAATACATACATCTTCAATTTTGGGCGAATCATATACATCACTATAAATACATTGAATATGTCAACGCTCGTTATAAATCATACATCAAATATTTCAAAGGTCTACCAATTTCATTTAAATACGTATTATTTTTCATACCCAATTAACTATTGTACCTAATTGACCATTTTCTAACCCGAGCCAGGGTGAGTCCCGGACCCACCCTCTAACTCTCTCCCTCCGCCCCTGTATGAATTGCATCCTAGGTTTATTTAACTATCCAAGATGACATAAAAGCTGATATATGTGGCGAGTTGGGTAAAAGAAACGAAAAAATTAAACTTAGGAATGCAGGACATATAATCACAAATCATTCCAAGTATGTTAATAACCCATCATGAAAACATATAATCACAAATCATTCCAAGTATGTTAATAACCCATCATGAATGTAACCATCAAGACCTATGTATATTTGTAGACAAAAGGCACTAAGAAATATAAATAATGAAACACGAACACGGCAATTTACGTGGTATCCTCGTTCATATGAATGAGACTAATCCACGAAAGACCCTCTCAACTCTCAAGGAGTCTTCGGCTAGTATGTTATTAGGGTTTCTCTCAACCACACTACAGATAAACATGGCAGCAACCAAACATATATAGGGCTGTCAATTCCAAAAACACTATCATGGAATTGGGAAATTACATAAAGACAGCCGAATAAACAGTAGCCTGACAACTATGGCTACACTAAACCGTACGTCTTCAACATCCTAAGCGTGCGGTTCACAACACGTCCCCCTTAAGCGTTGGCGTGAATGTCATGAAGGCTAAGCTTGAAAGTGAGAAACGAGAACTGCTCGGCACCCAACCCTTTAGTGAACATGTTGGCTAACTGGTCTTGAGAAGAGATATTATAGGGAGCTATTTTGCCAGAAGTAACGCACTCCCTAATAAAGTCACAGTCCATCTTTATGTGCTTCGTCCGCTTGTAAAAAACTGGGTTGGCAACGATGTGCGAAGTTGCCTTATTGTCGCTATGCAATGGAGTAGGAGCTGTACTGGAAATTTCAAGCTCACTAAGGAGCCAACAAAGGCAGAGTAGTTCACTCACCGTGCTAGCCATGACATGATACTCAGCTTCTGCAGAAGAATGAGCCACAGCAAACTGCTTCTTTGTGTGCCAAGAAACATGGCAGTCTCCTATGTGAATGAAATAACCAGTAGTGGAGTGACGAGAATGGTGGCAACCTCCCCAGTCACAATCACAGAAAGAAGTCAAACAAAGAGAACCACTCATGGATAAACGGAGACCACAACCAGGAAAACCCTTTAGATACCCGAGAACTCGATGTGAAGCATCCTCATGCTGCTGTCAGGGAGAGTGAACAGCCTAACTCAAGATATTTTTTGCGTAAACGATGTTAATTCGCATAACGGTCAAATACTGCAAACGACCGACGAGACGTCGAAAACAAGAAGGATCCTTGGCCACATGACCCTCAATCTGGGTGAGGTGATGATTCTGCTCAATGGGAAAAGCACACGGTTTAACACCCAGTGGCCCGACATCCTTGAGAATGTCAAGAGCATATTTCCTCTGAGATAAGACCAAACCACGACGCGAACGGGCTACTTCGATGCCGAAGAAATACTTCAGTACACCCAAATCCCTCTTGCTAAAACTGTGCCTGTAGAAATTCCTTCACATGCTGAATAGTCTGTAGGTCATCCCCACGAAGAATTATGTCATCCACGTAAGATGAGAGCAAAGGTAAAACTACCATTTCAGCGAAGCAGGAACAAAGTAGGATTAGCCTTCGACTACTGAAAACCGGATTGCTGCAAGGACTGGGTAAACTTCATGTACCAGTTGTGAGAGGCACGTTTAAGGACGTAGAGAGACTTTCAAAGACGACATACCCTGTTGTGCCCCGGTTGAGCAAACCCAGGAGGAAGCTGTAACATCCCGAACTTTTTTCCGACAAGATACTGTCCGCTTTGGGCCTCTACACCCACACGGATTTTTGACTTGGGGGTGAAATTCAAGGTGACTTCCCATAAGGTCACCCATCCTTGTTGTACTCCACACTGAGCACGTTTAACTTCAGAGTTCTCACAAGAACTCCTCCATTACACACCAAAACGCGTCTTGTCAGTTAAGGTCGGTTTCTTACTTATGAACCATGGATCTCTCCCGTGCTTTGTCGATGTGGTATTTGCCTAAGGTGTTACAGAAGCTTCATATAAACCTCTTCGTATAGATCACAATGCAAGAAGGCATTGTTAACATCCAATTGATGCAGATGCCAGCCATGGTGTGCGGCAACAGAAAAAACACAACGAACCGTCACCAACTTGGCAACCGGGGCAAAGGTGTCATGATAGTCCACGCCCTCAACTTGGGTGAATCCCTTAGAGACTAGGCGGGCTTTGTATCGCTCCATGCTACCATCAGGAAGAAATTTGATCTTGTATACCCATTTAGCGGCAATGGCCTTCTTATTCGGAGGCAACTTTTTCAATCGAGGGCATCAATGTCACATTGCATGGCATCCCGCTAACACGCATACTTAACTACATCACGGAAGAACTTCAGCTCCACCAACGTGTCTATAGCTGCCACGAAAACCTTGTGATTAGGTGAGAGTCTATGAAAAGTAACGTAAGCAGACATGGGATACTTAGAAGTAGTAGCAGTACGTGGGGTAGGGAGCGAAGTTTCATAACCTTGCAGCTGAACAGAAGGCTTCCTCTGACAATCACTCCGTCGAAGGGGAATAGGAGGAGTGGTAGCGAGAGGAGAAGAATTGGACGACGGAGAGGAGTCATTGCTCATATCGTCATGGGAAGAACCCTCGACGCCAATGCCCCCTGAAGTAATACATAGGCTACATGGGGGTGTACGTCCCCACCACCAGCTGGCGTGACACGTTGATCTGGCGCGGGGGGACATCTATCATCATCTGCTGGTCGGGAAGGAGCCAAGGGTAGAGGCAAAGGTTGGACACAGCCCGCCACTAAGTGAAACGAGAACGTGTGCTTGTCAAAAACCACATCCCGCAAGGTGAAAATGCAGTGAGATGACAACTCATAGACCCGATATCCTTTCTGAGAAGAGGTATATCCAAGGAAAACACATACTCGCCCATGTTCACCAAAATTATCCAAGTGATAATGTGTGTCCTTCGAATAAACCAGATAGCCAAAAGTACGCAAGTGATCATAGAAGGGAATAAGATTAAACAAACGCTCATATGGACTTTGATTATCGAGAGCACGATGAGGCATGCGATTGATTAAGTAACCAGTAGTAAGAACACACTCACTCCAAAACTGCTTCGACAAATTGCCATGAAAGCAGAGAGCGAGAGCAGTGTCAAGAATATGTCGATGCTTGCGGCCAACCACTCTGTTCTGCTGCGGAGTGTCGGTGCACGACATCTAAAGACAAATACCCTCATCAAGATAGAGGTCAAGCATCTTGACCGCTGAAAATCCTTCATTATCAGTCTGAATAACTTGACCAATTGACTGAATTGCCGAGAAGCCTGTCTAAGAAAGAGTTTCAAGTACTTTGTTGCCTCAGATTTGAACTTAAGTAAGTAAATCCACACCCCATGAGTGAAATCATTAACCACAGTAAGAAAATATTGTACACCACTCAAAGAGTGAACTCGATATCCACCCCAAATTTCAGCATGTATGTGTTCAAAAGGTCTACTATTACGAATAGAGCTCGAAGGAAAACCTAGACTAGATTGCTTTGCTTGCAAACAAGATGAGCAAAGCGCATTATTCTGACTATGAGAACTATAAAACAACTTCAGCAAATCAAGTTTTTCAGACGACGGATGACAAAGGAGCATGTGCCACAAGTCTGCTGGCACCACTTGATGAGACGCGCATGCCATCTCTGTGCGCCGCCTAGCAAATAAGCGCAAAGAGTAAAGCCCATCGTTATGTGTCCCCGTCCCAACAATCATTTTCGAGCGTAAGTTCTGTATCACACAGAAGTCGCCCAAAAAGATCAAAGTAAAAGAAAAATCCCAGGTAATCTGGCTAACAACAAGAAGATTGCATTTAAACTCTGGAACCAACCAGACTCGCGGCAGTGTCCTGCCATTAGGCAGCCAAACCGAGCCAATCGCATTAACATCAATAGCTGAACAATCTGGAACCTGACATTTTAAATTTGAGTCTTGATGTGAATTAACAATTAGTTGGGAATTATTGAAGATATGCTCGTTGCACCCGTATCGATTAACCCCTCGTCACGAGTTAAAGAGGAAGGCAAGAAATTGCATGTCATCTTCATGTCCCCGGTGGAGGCCGCCTTGAAATCACCTCCAAAGAGCAACTTGAGATGATCAAGCCAGGTATAGGGCTCTCATTGACGCTAACTTGGGCCGCACGGGGTCCCCCTTTGCCACGCGAAGGTCCCACCTACGACGCCCATATTTTTGGCCCTT